ACTCTAGAACAGTCTGGGGCATCCCTCCTGCTGGGGCACCCCTCAGGACAGAATGGAGCTCCCCCCAAGACCAGGTAGAACTCTGAGATGTTATGAATCTAATTTAACTTCTATCAGGCTGGGGAAGTAACTCCTTTCCCTGGAGAATGCCAGGTTCAGTGTCCTCAGGCCCCAATGCTGTCATCACCCCCCAGGGCCTGGGAGCCTGAGCTTCAATGCCAGACAGTTCTGGTTGTGAAACAGAGTAAGGCTAGGCCTGTGAACCAAACTGACTCCATTCTCCCTGCAGAGGACACTCTGTTAACTTTTCCACTCCTCAGTCATGAGACCCCCCAGGGCAAATGATTACCCCATAGGCTGCCCTGACCAAACAGACTAAGAGAGGAAACAGACAGTTTACTGAGGTGCAAAACCCCTCCCCAAGGCTTGTTTACTATAATTATAAAAGTTACAGAGTAACATTAAGACCCCTTTAGGAATTCCCACCTGCGGACAAAGCATCAAGGTGACTGCTACAATGACCCTCCTGGGGTGACATGATGAACACCACTGCCTACTGAGCATGCTCCCATGATGCAACCAGGAAGAATAGAACAGACCACCTCCAGTGACATTGGCCCGCCACCCCTTAACTCCTTTCCCTATAAAAGACCCTGAACAACTCCCCTCGGGGGGGCTAGCCTTACTGTTGCTACCCCCTTATGCATAAGTCTATCTCCTCTTTTAATAAAGCTTTGCTTGCTTTACTGTTGGGTACATTGTTCATTTCTATGCCTTTGGAATCCGAGAGCCTAATTTAATCACTGGCAAATGTTGGGCCAGTGGAATAGGGAACATCAGCAAATGGCACCAGGGCCTCCATCTTGTTGGACCCGCCCCTGGGACTTTCCCACCCAACCAGAAGGTCACCTTCCAAGAGATCTCCCACCATCAGAGCAATGGCACAGGGCCACATCACATCAGGGAAAACAGAACCTATGCAAGAAACCGAAACTTAACTTTACACAGCTATGCACCATATATGGGCTGCTGGCCAACAGCGGCCCACCCTTATAAAAACCCCACCTGCCTTTGCCTGGTCGCGACTTCCCCAGTCTCACTCCCTTGCAGGGTCGTGGAACCTCGCCCGGGAGTGCCCCCATTAAAGCCTACCCTAAATTTACTGCCTGGCTCCTGGTTTTCTTTGCTCTGATTTGAGACTAAAACGTTCAAGATTCAAACCTAACAGTAAAAATTGGAAAGCTTTGGGCACTGGAGAGGACTCTAGCTGCAAGAGGCAAGAGGCCACTGGGACTATTTTGCTCCCATGTCTCTGCTGCTGGTAAGTCTCTCCTGGAGTCCGTGGCCTAAATTCTGACAAGGCGATGCTTTATTCTCTTTACCTTTCTTTGATTTTCTGAGCCCTCTTCTGTTTGGTTGGATTGTATCCACGTCTGTATAGGTGCACCCTGGAGGGCTCCTGGCTATGCTTTGTTTTTCTGATTTTAATCTAGTTAATAATTTTCTTCTTTATGCTGAAAACAGTGGGGAGAACTTCTTTTATCAATTACTGTTGATGGAATCGGTTGGCCCCGCCGATTAGGACTAGGCTAAACTGGACACCGCTGCTCCTTTTTTCTCTTTGTTTGCTTGGTTAGACATTTAGTTGAGTACCAGTAATCCTAATAAAACCTTCCAATCCTTGCATCAACTTTTGTCTTTCAGGTCATTTGTTTAAAGGGAGAGAGCAAGCTGAGCCTGACCGGTCGGTAACAGTTGCATGGCCATTCTGTCACTCTCTATCTGTGTGACTTAGGCTCTGAGCCTCAATTGCTTTGTCTACAAAAACAAGATGATTGTTATCTAGCACAGCACAGTGTGAGCCCCATGTTCAATTAAATATTTTCTAATAGCCACAT